GAGTCCAAACTAACAAGTAATGATTTAAAATGTAAAAAACATTCAAGAGAATGGAACCAACACTATCTCATTGTTCAGTATTAGCTGGTTTGTGTTCTTACAGTGACTGCACTGGGGGATGATTTTCTTAATGTGGCTCTAACCTTGCAGTAAAATGCTATATTTGGATAATACTTCAGCAATTGAGTGAACAGATACAGTTCCCAGTTAAAGGTGGTATTAAAAAAAAGGGGCTGGGAGTGATTATGCTAATTATTTATGTTTCCCTTTGGCTTGCTTCCTACATAGCAGATTTTATTTCCTAATTATGTTTTGCTTTAGCTTAGGTAAAATTAGCTTGCATTCCTTTGGCACACACCAACTGCAGTTGGTGGAGGAGGCCTTCCAAAAAACCATAGATTGTTGACAAGAGTGGCTAACTAGATTAGATTTAAATTTACTGAGTAAAATCCACAAAAAGCCTAAGGCGCATGTAGATAAGTTGACTATAAGGGAATGTTGTTAGGTCATAGGAAGATCGTTTCTGGCAATGGACACTCAGCTCCTCTGTACTCTTTGTCATGGAGTTCCTGATGTCAAGATTTGGGGTTTCCTAGGTTGGTCACCGTGCTGCAGACAGGGATAAGCGTGCTTTGCAGTATTTAAATTGTATAACTGTAGGCTTGCAGATACAGTCAGAAATGATTTGCTACTCCATAATTTTGTCATTTGGCAATACTAAGACATGTTGACATACGGTTTGCTCTTTGGAATTAACATAAATGTTGTCATTTTACCAAAATAAAGAATTCTCTTACTCCATGATGGAAACAGTTTTAGGCTATGTGTATATTCCTTTATCTTTTCACATAGAAGGAAGCATCCTGTTGTATCATTATGTATAACTCTGGGTTTTTGGTTTAGTGGGTTGGAGGATGTGGCTGATGAGGCCAAGGACATGGTTTAATCAGAAAACCACTTGGCTCCCAAACATTTGTCTGCATTCCTGTCTTCAAGAACTAATTTCCCTGGTCATTTCACCCTTAGAGAGTGTGCTATAGATCAGCACAAATACCTCTATTCCAGGGTTTGGAAAATAATTAGCCTCAAATTATTTAGTCAGTGGGTCATCAGCATCATTATTACATTCCAAAAAAAGGATTTAAATTATAGTTTTCTCTATTTGCAATATATTCAATATTACTCCTTCCATTTTAATGCTGAAAGGAATTTACTGATTAAGAATCACGATTCATTTTTGTTGAAGGAATTTATTTTACTCCTGTTTATACTTCTATCTCACTTCTTTTTTACCCTGCCTTTCAGTAATTTTCACTGTAGCCCTAGGATGTCTTTTTAAATTATTATTATTATCATTATTATTTAGCTGTTTAATGAGGCTTCAAAAGATTTAATTTCTGGAACCATCCAGTCACTACCCTTTCAGATCTATTTGCTTTGACTGTAATAGAGCATACCTTTGTGCAAAGAAAGTCTGAGAAAGAGTTAATTTGCAATAGTAACAGAGGCTTATTCTCAGGAGAGAATTTAAACCAGCATGTGTCTTCCTGGTGGAGAAGCAGCCCCAAGCCAGGCTACTGGTGAGGAAGTTAACTCCTAGTGTGCCACCTCTGTGCAGTAGGTGAGATCCTCAGCCAACCTTCAACAGTGCCAGTTTTAAAGTGGAAACAGAATGCTGTCAATTCTCCTTCCAAGGTCCTGGATTTTGGTGGTTAGAGAATGTGGTGTCCTGTGATTTTTGTCTGTTTGTTTTCTTTCCATTTCACAAAAAATGATGGAGGTGGTGTGGGGAACAGGGACGGATTTCCATGTGGCATGATCCTGCTTTAATTGTATTTAGGTGAATACAAGCTATTTTTACCTAATGATTTTTTTTTAATTGGGTTGCATGTATAAAAGGGATTTGCTTCTCAGAGATATTGTCATTTCATATTTCTAGCTCTTAACCATGAGTAAAATTTATTATCTTATTCTTTTTAATTTTTTTTTCCAGAAGTGTGTCAGTTAATTCCTTGGGGAGTATTCAACACCAGAATGAAGAAAATTGATTGTCTTGCAATGTGTAACAATGCATTTTGAAAAGAACAAGGAATGCTCTTGGACTTTAAATTTTTACTATCAGCTTGACATCTAACTTTTACTGTCCAATGCTTTTCTTTCATCCTAAAGGAATTTAGTAATTCTAATATTGAGCAGTTTTAGGGAGTATACTTAATAAAGAAAAGTGGTATAATGAACAGGGATGGATATTAAAGGGATAAGAGAGGGAGTAACAGAGCCAATATAAATAAATAAATAAATACCTCTACTCACAGGATAACCTGGAGAGGATTTCTAATCTTCTGACCTTTAGCCCCAGAGTTCTAGGTAAAGTTCTTTCTTCACCTTTCTTCTGGGAGGGAACTTTTCACAATTTATTACTCAATCCCTTTCACTGTCTTTGTAGAAAAATTTTTCTCTGCCTTGGTTTGTGTCATATTTGGATCCAATTTGGAAAGTGGAGCAATTAAAGTGTCAAAATCTTTCAATAAGACCTGCCATTAAAAATTAAAAAAAAAATTAAAAAAGCTTTGATCTGTAACTCTTGGACTGAACATTTCAGTCATTCATCTTCCAGAATTTCAAGTGCAGGATTTGGTTGTGGTTTGATTTTACTTCTTTAAGACAAAGCTTGAATGTCTCAATTTGATTTTATGCATTCAACACATTTTTAGGGATCTGGTGATTTGGGAAGGGCTGTACCATATGGTCTTGGTAAGGTGATAGATTTTCACATTCTGGAAATTGGCAGCAAAGGGTAGGAAGCGAGTTAGATGTGGGAAGGGAAGATTGAGTGTTTGGGCCTAATTCACGCATCTCATGAAAAATCTTCTGAGACGGATAATTCCCATAAAATTTACGTTTACAAAGATGGCTTTTGTTTTTTAGTGCATAAGTACACGTGTCCTCACACGTAGGGAATAATTTTTTTAAATTCTCTCAAAAGTAGAGGGCATAACATTTAGCTTTTAAAGCTATGACATTTAACACTTCTTGTTTAGTCCTTCAGAAGAGACCTCAGACTTGAGGGGTCAAAGAACATAAGACAGCCCGCTACAAGTTCCCTGAAAAGATTACAAAGTTAGGAGCTGAGGGGCCGGTGCCACGCACTAAAAGAAAACAGAACAGACACATCGTTTTCATCTGAGGACTGTTTTTGGAGAAGGACTAGAGGCAAGATAGAGTAAGTAAATCAGAGCCAGGTGTATATACAAATATATTGGGAGGGTAAAAACACCCTGGAGGCGGTGAAATTTAAGAAAGCAATTTAAGAAGAAATGGGTGCCTTGTGTGATTCCTCGGGGAGGGATAGAGGGAGCTGAAGTGTAGGATTTTCCCTGATCTTTCAGAGAATTCAGGTTCAGGAGGACTGACATTTAATCCGGTCTGTGCAAGAATTTCTCTGGCTTGGTGGGAGTTCTGCGGCACGCATCGCTTCTCGGGCGCTTTCTCCTTTCACCTCTTCTCCGGTCTTTGATCCCCAGCCCGCGCGCAGGGCTGCAGCGCAGTCAGGTCGTGCGCCCATTTCTCGCACCTCCACGAGCCCGCGGCTGGCGCAGCCCGGCGCGGGGCGCGGGGCGGGACCGAGGCGGGGCGCTCCGGCGCGCAGCGGGTTAAGCGGCGAGGGCGGCGGCGAGAGGCGGAGGGAGCGCGGCGGCTCCCGGCTCCCGGCGCCCGCGTGCCGGACAGCAGCGGGTTAAGCGCCGCCCGCGCGGAGAGGGCTGAGTCCGGAGCCGCGGCTCCGAGCTCGCATTCAGATCCGCTAGAGCAGGAAGATGGCGACGGACGACGCGAGCTGCGAGCCCGACTTGTCCCGGGCCCCAGAGGACGCGGCCGGGGCAGCGGCGGAGGCGGCGGTAACCGAGTTCCCGGGGCGGGTGCGGGGCGAGTGTAGACGCGGGCCGGGGGCGGCGCCGGGGCCCCAACTGGACCCGGTTCCGCACCTCCGGGGCGTTCTGTAAGCCCGGGACCCTCAGGTGCCCCTTCCTCGGGGTGCCCGCCCGGTGGAGGCCGGTGGGAGCGGAGCGGCCACCCGGGCTGGAGCTCCGTCCTGCCCCTTCCGTGCCCCACGGAGAGCGGCCCCAGGTCGCCCGGTTCTCCCAGCCTCCTGCGTGCGTCCCGCGCGACCCCTTCGCCCACTCCCCTCCCGCTGCGGTGGATTCTGGCCGGGGGTGAAGGCTGGGACGTGTTTCCTGGCGATTTTGACCCCCCATTGTTCACCTCCCGCTGCGCGCGTGGTTGCGAGCGCGTGTCCTGGGGTTGCCTGGTATCTCAGCGGACCTGGGAGAGCTTCGAGGGGGAGGCGGGCCATCGCCCAGCAGGTGTGGGGATGCCCATTGTGTGCATCTGTTCCTGTGCCTTCGGGAGGCCCTTTGGGAGAGGCCCCGTGTCCAGCTGTGGGCGCTGCTGCCGCTGAGGCCAGCGCTTTAGGTCCTAGCAGCCTGCTGCCCCATCACTTGGTGGTGGTGGAGTGTGGTGGAGGGGTTGGTTCTTCCGGAGGCGATGCCCGGGCGAGGTGGAGGTTCTGCACCTGGTTTCAAGACATTGTTCTCCTTCTCTGGGGTCTAGAAACTCAATGCGCTACCATTTATAACAGGTCCTCACTTTCACCCCCTGAATATCTCGGGGAGATACTCACTGGTGGTTTCCAGCCTCTACCTTGGGGGAGGGCTGGACCCACATTTCCCGGGTGGAAAACGTTCTCAGTGTTTAGGAAGCCGCCTCGCAGGAGCTGCAAGGATCTGCAGAGAAAGGCAGATCTGTGAGCGCCTCCCACTCTTGGCCCGATCTAGCTGCTCCTGCCGAAGGATCGGGGTGGGTTGGAGCGAGCGGGGCGTGGACGCCCCCTCCTTTCCTCTCAAGACCTGAGCAGAGTCTGTGCAGAAGCGGGAGAGGGCAGGGCCAGGCATAAACAGCCAGGGCCGCTTTAACTTCCTCCCACCCTCTGGAGGTAGGGCTTTCTGGAGAGGGAAGAGGAGAGATGTGGAGGAAGGTACTTGGGGTGAGAGGAGCTGAGCCTGGGAGTGGAGGGAGAAACAGAGAGGGGGAGGAGGACTGCTGATTTCCACTTGTAAAACTGGCAAGTTTTGATTTGAACTTTTGGGAAAACTGAGTTTCCATTCTTTGCATTGAAAATCAGAGCTTTAAGATTTCCAACGAAACCTGCCCACTTAACGTGAATCAGTTCCCCTCTGTGGGGCACTGTAAGGAAACTAGCTATTAAGACAAGGCTCTCTGAGAAGTGGAAATGATTTGGTGCCTTCATCCCCAAAAGGTGGGAAGAAGAAAGAGGAAAAAGAGGGTGCGGGGTGTGTGTGTGTAGGGGTGCCTGTGTAGGGGTGTGTGTGCAGGTGTGTGTGTGCGGGGGGGTGGGTGTGTGTAGGAGTGTGTGTAGGGGTGTGTGTCTGTGTTTCTTGTTCCCCAGGTTAAATTTATTTACTTAATCTACTTAGAATGGGTTTCTTTCTATTACCCTCAATATTTTAATTACCTGACAATTAACCCAAACACAAACATCTGATTGATGGTCTGTAGAGCTGATATATAGTTTTGTTTAGTTAGATCGTAAACAAAACCTTGGGCGCCAGGAAGATTTCTGTGTTAACAAGGTCAGTGTTTCCTCTCTGCCGTTTAAAATTTTCAAGTCTGATTTTCACTGCTGATATTTGGGGATTTGATCATTTCACCCTTGTTAATGGGCAGAACCATGGAAAATCTTCGAAAGGGAACCTTCTTTGCTATTTCCATAGAATCCTTTAGGGTTGCGAGATGCAGTAAGGATTCTTCATCTAGCAGTTAAAAAGAAATAGTAATAGCTTCTGACATTTTAGTAAAGTTTCGGTGATGGCTTCTTATGTAGTAAATTGGGCATTTTATTTTACTTCCCCAAACAGTTTTGACGTAATAAGGCATGGTTCTCTCATGTCAGGCACTTGACTTGTAATTGATTTTTAAATGAAAAGAAAGCTAGTGTAGAGGATTGATATGTGTCATCACAATTGCTCCTTAAAATCCAAGGCGTTTTAATGCACGTTGGGTTCTCGTTAACCGAGAACTTAATTTTTATTTTAGTGAACAATTCACTTTGCATTTTGGAGATTTATTGAATTTCAAATCGGTTTACGTATTGTGCATTTTTATGTATACATTTGGCAGTAAGGAGCCAATGGAAGCTCTGAAGCAGTAGGCTATTTTTGAAAGTCAGTGTTTTCACTAAGCTTTGACTATTTAGATTGTTGCTTAGAAACAAGCTTAATTTATAGTTTTCAGTTTAATATCATTTTTAGTGGAATGTTTTAAATTTAGTTTGTGATCCTCATTCTTAGCTGTTTAAATCCTAAAAGCATACCAAGTTTAAAGCTGGGTAACAGTTACATTATTTAGTAGGATTGTATTAATAGTCTTTGCCGTGAACCATGCCGGGAAACCTGGGTTATTTTCAGTGCTTTAGCCAAACGTGATGACTTTTATAGGCCATATTGCTGTTTCTACTCTGAAAATAACTCCTAATGGATAAGGCAGTATGGAAAACAGAAATCTTCATACTTTTTATTGTCACCAAATAATTTTTGGAGTGAAAGGAAAATGGAGATCTTTTTAGAGTTCTGTTTGGGAAGCCAACCAACATTCTTGCCATTCTGGGCTTTTCTGGAGCAGCTAATATGCAAGAAGTAGGTATAAAATTTGTTGTCATGGTGACAGTGACAAAAACTTGGACAGTGATTTAAAATGCACAACAGTGATGTTAAACAGATTAACAGCTGGCACCTTGAAATTTTTGTTTTCCAGGTGACAGTGTTGAATGTAAATGCACAGAAAAGAACTTTCGTAGCCAATTTCACTATGTTTTTTTTTTTTAAAAAAAACTAAATTATAGATATATGGCAGCTATAGAATGTTGAAAGTTTTGCAGCTTAATGTTTTAAATAGGAAATTACGTAGATTTAACACATGTTACTGAACATTTACAGAGATGCAGGCATCATGAGTATCATCTTTGCTGCCCTGAAGTAATACATCCCAGTGATAGAAAGTGACATACACCAAGGAATCAAATCAGAGATGATGATGTCATGAGAGGCACATGTGATTTTGCATTAGAAGTTTGGAGTGCAGCAGTCATAGAGAGGATCCCCAGTGGATGGAGCTAGAAACTTCCATAGAAGGATGGCATTTGAGGTAGGCCTTGAGATTTAAGGATGATCTGGACTGGCACTGCAGGAAGGAGTGTGCAAATGTGGCCATAGTCTCGGGAGACAGACGTGAAGGGCTTTCAGTGATGAGCATGGAGGTTTCCATTCTGGTCTTAGCTATGTGGTTCAGAAAAATAGCTTGGAAGTTGAGAAAACTGACTGGAATATTTTTCCAAAGATGAGAATGTAACTGTTTTCAGTGTCCTGCTTTTCACTTTTTGTTTTTTTTTCTTCTTAAATAACGGGCCGTACGTTTCTGTTTGCACCAGTTTTTGGACTTCATTATTACTGTTGCTGTTGTTGTTACTGTATTTCTCATAGGAGCAATTTTGTTTGGAGAACATTTGTCCTCTCAGTGATTGAACCCATGCCTCGGCTAGATTGCCAGTTGGTTCTATCCTGGTGTGTTTCACATAACTTTATGAGGTGAGAAAATATTTCACAGCCTTGGTACTTAGATTTGCAAATAGCTGCTATTGATCATGTAGACAGCAAGGCTGTGGCTGGGAGAGAGTGGTGTGAAGTTTGTTAAAGAAGGCAAAGGTGCTAGCACAATGCCAGGCACATGGTAAGTGTTCCCCAAATATTTACTAAATGAAGAAAATGAAAGGAAGCTCACCAAGAAGTTGTGTCATAAAACTTAATGTTGATTGGCTAATTAGAAAATTCACTGTGTGTGTTACCAGCTAGCTTATAGTGAAACTGTTGGCCTGTGACTTGTAATAATTAACATTATAGATATTACAGATGTTGATCCAAAAAGATGACTCTAATTCTTAGTTTTAAAATTTTTCATCTTAATACTGCCCCTTTCCAAGCTGCTTTTCTCAATAACTTCTTAGATTCTTCATAGGGGGTTTTAAAAAGTTTAATTTCCAACACTATTAGTTTTCTCTTTAGATTCTCTCTTTTCAAAATGATGATTGAGGCTGCACCTGTGCCAGCCTGCATCCTTCCAATAATAGAGTCAAGGCCACATCACCCATTGGGATGTGGAAGAGAGGATGATTGATAGGGGTTTAAGAGAAATGTGAAGTTTGGAAACAGGAAAAGGGAACAAAAGGAAAGATTGGGCAGGAATAAAAGGAAAGATTGGGCAGGAAAAAGGAGATTAGGCAAGGCTTTAGAATAGTCTGTAATTGCACAGAAATGTAGGACTGGAGTAGTATCCCCCAACTCCGTTTACTTTGCCACCCAAGCCCGTCTGAGTATTGCGTTACAAGGAGACTTTATTTGAACACGTTGCATTACGTTATTCTCTCTTGGTGCTCCTTTGCAAAGCTTATATAACATGGTAAAGAGATTTGTCTTTTTTCTTGGTAGTTAGGTAAAGAATCAGAGAACAGGTACGAGAGAGGATGATGATAGCAATGATAGTGAAAGATAATAACTTACATAAATAATGAGATCATATTATTAATGCTGTGTATGGCATGATGCCTTCCATACAGAAATTCTGATTTTAGAGGGGGGAGATACTCTATTTAAATAAATTATTAGTAACCAACTAATAGGTTGGGGATCCGTTTAATAGGTCATAGAAATGTAGTGTAATCTAGTTAACATTGATATGTGGAGTCGATACTTGTTAGCAAAGATTTGGTTTTGACATTATATTTCATTGAAAAGACAAGATGGTTCCAAAGGCCTGCCTCTTCATTTGGCCCAGCCTCTTCATTTGAAAGTCAGCATGCAGACATTTGCCACCTACAGATAATCAGACGATATTCTTTAATGCATTGTAAGCTTCTTAGAAGTTAGTTATTACATCTGAATGTCTGCTTGCCTGTGGAGCTGATCCATGTCCGGTGCTGGGCTGATGTAACATTGAAAAGCTGAGTTAGGGTGAAAATAGATGCTAGTTTTATTTGAGATGTTGTCGTTTTTTTTCTAAGGAGGAAATAGAGACTGTGGGGAGATCTGAAAGGAGGAAAAGGGTGGTAGTTGGGCCTGATTATTAGAGGCTGTCACCCCTGACTGAGCCACTTTTCTGCCATTCTTTTCAGCTTTCTCTTAGTTAAAATTAATTACACTCAGTACCAGGTTTCCTTCCTGACAGTTTCCTTGTCAGTATTACCTCCTTTCAGTACACTGAGTTTCTTGTCTTGCATGAAAGACCCCAGACAGTGTGGTTGATTTGAGCTGAGGTACATGGCCTTGGAGAGCTGACACCAAGTAGACCCCATCTTCTCCGTACTATATGTTGTTTTAAAGGCGAACATCAAACTGCTTCCCTAGTTTAGGCTAATTAAATATTTTTGAAACACTGAATGATCTCGTACAGTTACCTAGTTGCCTCTAGAGTAGGCTGAAACATTGTATCTTAGTAAGATGGTTGTACCTGAGACATCCTTTGCACATTTCTGTTTTCATACTGTGTGCAGTAGACATTTTATACCAAAGGTGTGTATGGTGGGGTGGGGGCAGGGGTAACACATTGGATAAAATCAGCTGAAGAAGTAATATTGTTACTGTCCTGACAGATCTAGTAGGGGTGAGAAAATAGAGTTAATAGATTTAATAAGTTTAATATGAGGAAATGCACAAGGCTGGACATGATTAACTGCCAAGTGGAGATTTTAAGACTGGAGAGAACAAGAGATTTCTGGAAAGGCATTCAAAGGTGACGTTTGAGCTGTGTGCTAAAGAAAGTTAGGACTCAGATGAATCAGAGGAGAATGGAGGATTAGGAAGAGCATCATCAGAGGTATGCAACCTCATCACAAAAATTATTTCCTCCTTGTAGAGAGAGAAATCAAGAAGATAATCTCGAGGTAAGAAGTAGCTTCAGAGATTTGAAAATAGTTTGAGATCTTGAGAAGCCTGTACTTTTCTTTATGAAAACCCTTATAATTAGCAAAATTCTTAATATAGTCCATGTTCTTATGTACCCAGAGAGGTGGATTTAATTTTTTGCATGTCAGTGATACAGGCTTCGCATTGTGATTGGGAACTTACAAGATGATTTCATTGCTTCTCCTTCTTTATAGCCCATTTTCATTCCCAAAGCATAAATCTTGCTTACATAGAAATTTCTAAATGCATTGTTAATTATTAGCATGTACTATTAAACTAGGAGGAAAATACATTTCTGTAACTTCTGAGCAAAGAGGCAAAACAGTTTTCCTCAAGTACCTCACAAAGGCTTTTAGGCTCAGGAAATGACCTAAATAAATTTCCTCAGTCCAGTAATCCAGTTACCCTGATGTTACATGAAATCAGGACATTTAGGGGCTGGAGGAGATTTAAGAGATCACTTGGTCTAGCATCCTTATTTTACTGATGGAAACTCTGAGATTCATCAGATGAAATGATTTGCCCTATTTTGCTGATTGTTCCCTAGCCACATCTCTCATCACCCAGCCTTCCAGTCTGCTTGCTTTCTCCTGTGTAAAACTTACTGATGGAAAATCGGCACAACCTGCTGGAGTTTAAACTGGAAGAGAGGCTCCTGGTCTTGGTGGGAAGAGCCAGAGAATGCGCCCGAGTTTGTGTTTGCTCACCACATATCCCCCAGCAAACCTGATAGGACGGATGTGTTTGAGGAAGGATCTGAGGGGCATCTGTGGCTCATTATGTCTCCTGAAGGCATTTTGATAACTGATCAATGTGCTGCCTCCACTAATTCTTAAAGGATATGGGCAAGACTTTTCTATTAATATTTAGCTGTGTCTATTGAATTCCCCACATAAACCTAGTATTTTAGATTTGGGGAACTGGGGGAGGGGAAAATTTGGTATTGGCCTGTGTTCAGTTCTGGAAATTTAAGATGACTTGATTCAGCCAGGGTCTATTTTATTTGTTCTGCCTCTTTCTTTCTCTCTCAGCCTGAATGAGAAAAAATCTAGAAGAATGCCCCCCCCATGATTGCCCCATGTAATTCAGAGCTGTTCAAAACTACTGTGTTGAACAGTTGAGTTTGGGATTATTTCTCCTCATTTATACATAATGTATATCATATATTTGTATAAATGATATATAACTATATAATTAATTTTAAAATAAGCTATAATTTATAATATACAATAGATTAACATACAGTAAATTAATATATACGACTTGTATCCCAAACAAGACATACTTTGTATTTGATGAACAGATTCTGGATTAGTTGAAGCTGCCGTGCCAGATTTTTAAAACTAGATGTTAAGCAATTTTTCTGGAATACTTTTCCTGACAAATGTAACAGGCAGAAGTGTGGCCTGAAATCTAGCAGGTCTGGTTTTCTTTTGTTTTATTTTGTTTTTAGTTTCTTTTCATCACTAAAAATTAAGAGCTGGATTTTTCTTTTTTAATGGGGAAAAGCAACTTCAATAGTGAATCTTAGTCTGTGAACGTGTCTGCTGTGGTTTTTTTGGAGGGTATTGAGGATTTGGGGGTCATGTTTTCATGAATGCCTTGATAGAGACTTTAATTTTTTGTGTGAATGGCATTTTGATCTGTTCTGTCTTATATCCAATTTGAAAATTAGTTTATCAAGGACAATTCCTTTGGCTCCTAAACCAAGAAACTCTAATGATTTTTTTCTACATCTAAGTACTTTTGTACCATATGCACCTAAGATTAATGCCACTTCTTATATACATACATATATGTATATATAGTTTTTTTTTGTAGAAGTTTTGCTTCTTGGCTTATTTTTCTAAAAATACCAAAGTGCTTAGTATTTATTTATGAAATACTTGGAGTCTTAAGATCTTCAGCATCTTTTCATGCTTTTTTTTTAAACCCTGTTTTGCCAGAATAGAATGGAAATGAAAGGTGTTGAAAATTTGAAATAATTATAATATTTATACCATGAAAGGCCAGAAATTAGTAGTTTTAGTGGAGAAATAGGGGTGGAGACATAGAAGAGAGACAAGCAGTGTATGTTTCAAACCGTACATCATACATTGTGATGGGAGACAGATTTATTTTTTAACATTCTGTGTGACATAATCTATGGTTTGGCAAGGACCTTTGTACCACTATTTTTTTATTTTAATGAATTTCCCTCTTTATTGATGGTAATGCATAGAAAAACAGAAGTTTGGGCTGTAGGTCACATGTGTTGCTGCTGCTGATGGAAGCAGGGCAGCTCTCCTGCTTCTAATATGAATCAGGATCTTGGCAATGTCTTTCGTAATTTATTAGTTTTGAAAATGGAGCACTTTGCTTATAAAGCTTTGGAGAAACAGGATGATAAAATATACAATTAATTAAAATCTTTACAGCAACGAGCAGCATCATTAATAAAACATTACCCTCTAAAGCACACAAGAATTGCAGCTTACTCTCCCATCTCAGTGGGAAAAACCAGGATAAAAGAGGCTGTCTTTCATCATAGTCAATAAACTGAGTTTATTGGACTTGGGCTGGTAGATCTTCAAAGAAATAGGCTCCTGGCCAATACCCCACTCCTCTCTACATGAAACATCTGGGTTAATAATAACAATCGCCTGCCTTCATTTGCCACTTACTTCATTGATATGTTCTTGTTTAATCCTCAGAAGAATGCAGGGTAGATGTTAGGATTTCCATTATACAGATGAGAAAACAGAGAAAGACATAAGTTATAGAAATGTTCCTCAGAGTGTAATCTTTGGACCAATAGCGTCACCAAGAGCTTTTTAGAAGGGCAGATTCACAGCTGCGCCTCAGACTCACTGAATTACAATTTCCAGGGGTGGAGCCCTGCAGCCTGTTTTTTCACAAGATCTTCAGGTGATTCTTATGCATGCCACAGTTTGAGAACAATTGGTTTATAAGACTTTAGGGACACTACTGTGTAGTGGGAGCAGAAATTGAGACCTGGTATTATATTGGATTTTACTATTCATAGGGAGCATCTCTAAGAAGTCTTTGTAGCAGGCATCCCTGGAACTATACATGATTTATGCTTGCTGTAGGTTTTCCTTTTCTCTTTATCCTGAGTCTTTGCCTTCCCAAATAACTTCTCTGTCTAGTGTATATGCAAAAAGAAATAATTTTAAGAGAGAGTCTTTTTAAACATCTTTCCTGAGAGAACACCCTAGCTCTGGTCTCTTTCCCCTTCGTACCATCATATCTCTTTCTAGAAGCTTCTTTTGAAACTTCAATGTGACCATTCTGGTCGTGCCTGTTTGAAAGCCTTTGAAGTAATTTATTGTCTTCGCTATGTATACTTTTGTGTCTTCACAGAAATAGTCTGTGTTCATGTTGGCTGATTGATAGAATGATAACTTTTTTATCTAATCTCAAAGAGCTTCTTCTAGAATGTTGATGCCATGCTGGTAAAGTGTGAAGATAAGTCATGGCATTTGGTCATATATCCTGGTTTTACTATTTACTGGTTGCACAATCTGGATACCTTAGCTGACTTTTCTGAGTTTCAATTTTAAAAATGGAGATGACAGTATGGTGTAAATTAGAGTTGATTCTTTGAGAATACTTTGGAAGTCATTGGGTGCTAGGCAAGTGTGAAGTAATGTTCTGGCACATTTTGGCAATGGCTTCTGAGGGCAAGTGTACAGAGAGATTTGGGAATGAATGTTGCGTTCCCCTTCATTATGATGGTGACTGGGCTTGTCAAATGAGTCTGTCTAGAGTAGGGAGGAACAGAGTATGCCTGGTGGAAGGAGCACAGGCTTTGGACTCACCCAGGCTGACTGTGAACTCACCAATGATGATCTCTTAGCTTTATCTCTAAAACGAATGCCAGAGGACCTACTTGTAAAAGCTGCTATGAGAAAGGAGATTGGAGCAGAAGACAAAAGAATCAAGAGTCAGTGGTATATCAATGGGATTTAAAGCCTTGAGAGGTTGGCTGCAGTCGCTCAGGGAAGAAATGTGCAAGAGAAGACAAGGGCTGGGAGAACCTTGTGTAAGAAATTATAACCACCTCCCCTCCCCAGCCACCGTACCTAGGACCCTGGTGCTGACTTCATGTTGTAGCTGGGTCCCTGGAAGGCTCACTTACTCCAGCCTCAGCTTCCTCCCAGGCCTGCCAAGAAGCTATAGAGGCATTCATAAGAAGACACTTTGATAACCAAATAGCAGAGATTCCAAACTCACCTGACTATGGCAGCCCAGATGACCACATATGGATGGCAGTCCTGGCTTCTTAAAAGTGTGTGTGCCTGTACTGTGTGTGTGTATTTGTGTGTGTGTGTGTGTGTGTATGTATGTGTATGTGTATGTGTTGGTGGGGGAGGGTTGGCAACATGAGGAATGTGTTCCTTCTTGAGGGGCAGCTACTTCCTGGCTCTGTGGATTATCACCCTGAGGAAATGTGAATCTGGGGCTACCTAGTCATCTGACATTTGAAGACAAGCCAGGGATCTGGATTTTTTGGTGACATCTTCAGATTTTTTTAATGTTGGAAAAAAAAAAAAAAAAAAAAAAAACAGCAACGACAGCAAACCCACTTTGTGGCCCAAGTAACACACATCTGTGGGCCAGATTTGGCTACCAGCTGGTGGCCTCTGCTGCAGAGTATATAAACATGACCTATTATTATTGGATGTTCTGGAATTTGTAATAACCTCCCGGGAGTCTTTATGTTGGGGGCCTTCTAGGAATACATCCATGCTTTCTTTGCTACCCTTGAAACTCCCCCACTCTCCTAAGATATACCAGAGCTATTTTGCTCCAGACTCCAGGGACTTTAAGTTTGTGCTGTGTAAATTTGGAGAGATTTTGAATCTGGGTGTGCAGGCAGACTGGGGAACTGTAGCTCTTTGGAGGGGAGAGTGGAGAGATTGGCATTATCATTTTTACCTCTCCTCCTAGAAGGTCAAGGCATAGATTGTCTACTGCAGATAGTACCCCTTTCCTCTTGGATCTGCTGAGCCACTGGAATAAAAATGATCCAATGCATACCCTTAGAATGTGTGTGTCTTCCTTAGGAAAAGATTTTTCATTGGCTTATTTTTTGTGTGTTACAGAAAAAAGAGTTTGATGTGGATACTCTCAGTAAATCCGAGCTGCGGATGCTCCTCAGCGTGATGGAAGGGGAGCTGGAGGCCAGAGACCTCGTCATCGAGGCCCTGCGGGTAAGAACAACACAGGACCAGCTCTCCGTGCTGGGTCATTTGCTTTTTTCAAAGAGCCATTGGCAAACACTCTTTCTCTTAGTGTTTGAATTAAATAGATTTAAAATGTTACATCAGGTCAAAATGTGTTCTTCACCCCAAACTCTAACCCATATTATAAGCCCAAACAAACACTGAAGTCAGATGGTGGTTGAGGTGCTGGAAGTAAACTGTTCAATACGGGAAACTTGAGAAGTCAGCTATACTCGTTCAAAAATCCTTTCATGTTTCACATGTTTAATTGGTTAGAAATGTGTTTTCAGAAAATTGGTAATTTGGGATCCTACATGTGTGTGAGGGCAGTTAGGAAAAGTTGAGATTTATAAAAAATATTGCTGGTAGTGGATGTTTTTTCCCTGTAAAAATTATAATCATTTTTTAGAAACTATGAGTTAAAAAGTTAATGTTTGTATATCCCTACTTTCAAATAGTGTTAATTTTTCTGATCTTCCAGTAATTTTGAAATATTTCTGTAATAGCTTACAAAGAATATGTGACTTAAGTGTCTCGATGAAATTTTCTTTTTGAAAAAACAATGGCAATTAGACTTTCTTGGTGCAGTTTTTCAATGGAATATTCTGGATCTTGCATTTGTTTTGGTGTGTAGATCAAACATAATTTGGTGCTTGTTTTTTTTTTTTTCCCCTCTCTTTTCTATTTAATCCTTTGTTTGTGATTAGTTATTTTTTGGCTCTTGGTCGTTTGGCCAAGAAGGATATATTTATTAAGCATGGGTTTTTCTTATTTCATCAGGGAATTATTTCCTCGAACCTTGTCTTAGGAAGTTTATTTTAATGTACATATGAAAATCTGTGGAATGTTAACAAAGTGTTGCCTGTGACAGGAGCTTACATGGTAGAGGAGGGAGGTGGTAGTGCTTGATGGTCAGACATAATAATGGAGAAGGTGGATATGGGGAGAACCCGGTTGTGTGAGAAGAACAGATAGTTCCTGAAGTCATGTCTTCAATGTATTTTCATAAACCAGAAGTTGGCATAGTAGATGTGATGATTAGCCCTCAATTTGATTGCAGGAACAAATTGCCACAGAAAAGTGGGAGTATAGTTACACTGTCGGTGAGCCAATATTGAGTTGAAGGTGTTGTATTTTGAATGAAATTGAAGTTCTGCTAAGTAGACATTTGCAGTTTGGTTGTGTTCCTCCTGTTTCACATTTAGAACATCTGTATTGCTTGCAAATGTATATTTTTCTGAATAAACTTTTTGGGAGAAATGCTGAGGCAGCATATAACTAACATATGTGACCCTTAGCCCAAGGACAGAACAAGGGCACAGTCAGCTGCTGAGGCCAGTAGTGTAACCTCTTGTGGCCAGACTGAAGGGCTCCAGCTGTGCCTTAGGTATTTTTTTGTCCTTCTATGTTAAGCTGTGAAAGACATCAGAACTACGAAACTCCCCCCTGCTCACATCAATGTTTGAACATTTAGTGAAGTCTGTGTTTTTATGTATCACCTTAGCAACAACATGTATGTCGCTTTTTAACTTAATTGCAGTACTTTGAAATGTAAGAGTAGAGGTAAAGGCTTGCTAATAATCAGCACTTGCCAAATGAACATTTTTTCATAGAGTCAAGAATGTTAGAATTACAAGGAGCCTTAGATCATATTATAGGTCAGCCTTTTGCATCCTGTCAGATGTAGTGTCTCCTTTTCATAAAATATTTTATTACCTTTTTACTATCCTGCAATGAAATTTATGGACAATTCCATGTATTAGTAGGTTCTGTTAAAAATTACAAAACCAATACAAAGATAACAGGAAAATGTTTAAAATATGATGTACTCAATATATAAATGCTCAGACATGACTGTACTGTCAGATGTGATAAAACACGTGGCTGTTTGAACCTATTCATGGTATTGACATGAATACAATAGTTGCAAAAGAATCCTGATCCCATCCTGCTAATGTTGTTTACTTTGAGTCAGCAGATTTGTGGAGAGTGAATTGATTTTTCTGAAATGGTGAATGACTCTTACTAGAGTTCCAAACAAGTATGCATGTGCACAGGAGTTGAATCTCTAGAAAATTCAGTTTGTTAAAACTTTAAAATGACTTGTTTAATAAGTAAAAAAGAGTTACTCTCTAGACTGGTCATACAGGGGTTCCAATGAAAGGAATGAACAGAGAGACATTTGAAAGTGATAGGGAACACGGCACAGTTCCTGGATGTGTGGCAAGGAACCACATCTTTGCCCTGCCTCCCTAAGTGCCAATCACTGTGAAAACCAAAAATGCTCTTGTCTGTTTCTAAAACAGATCCTAAGGTACTGCTCCTGTGGAGAACCATTGGCCAAGACCAGTCTCCTTTGTTTATAGAAAAAAAATCAAACAAACAAAAAAGCCTGGAGACTTCTGACTTATCTAAGGTCACAGATAATGGCATGCATAAGAGCTTCCAGTTCATTTTCTTTTTCTTTCTTTCTTTTTTTTTTTCTTTCTCTGTTGCCAAGACTGGAGTACAGTGGTATGATCTTGGCTCACTGCAATGTCTGCCTCCCGGCTTCAGGTGATTCTTCTGCCTCAGCCTACTAAGTAGCTGGGATTACAGGTGCACACCACCACACCCAGCTAATTTTTGTATTTTTAGTAGAGACGAGGTTTTACCATGTTGGCCAGGCTGATCTTGAACTCTTGACATTGTGATCCACCCACGTTGGCCTCCCGAAATGCTGATAATACAGGCGTGAGCCACCACACCTTGCAGCTTCCAGTTCATTTTCACACAGCCTCCCGTATGGAACTCGGTGTATATGGAGATTCTTAAAGCTTCTTGGTTTAAAATTGACAATTGTGATTCCTTTATTTAGATGATTATGTTTTTTACAGTAGGTAATATCATTTTCACATACATGTGGTAGCCATCATAGACTCACTGTGGTGATTTACTGATTGAGTGTTCCCTGGGACATTCATTGCTCCAAGTGTGTCATCTGTTTGCCTTTTCCTATAGTGGTAAAATGTAACTGAGCGACTAATGCCCCAGAAAGAAATTGGGAAGGAGAAAGGTTTTGAAACTGTCATTTTAATTTTGTTTTACATTATGAGATCAATTTATTCCTAAATCAAGAATCAAAATCTCCTCAATGGATAATCAGTGTGCTGCTATTCAACTGGGAAGGAAGTGCATCTTGTGTTTTTTCAGCCAAAATTAATATTCCACTAAAATAGTAAATAGTTTTGAACTTTATAAATTATAAAGATATCTAATTTGTACACTGAACTTTATTAAATTTAGAAATGATTTTGTTGTGAGACCTTCAAATTCTTTAGAGTTTTAGAATCTTTAAACATATATTTCAGATGAAGCTATTTTACTTTTTAAATCATGCTGTATTGATGCTTTGATTTCAAGTTATTAGAAATTGCTATCATTGGATTAATGGCGATGGACTTTTCAAAACAATCCAGGAATGTAGTTTGGGATGGGTAGGATGTTAGGAGATTGCAATTTATATCGTGGTACCTTTGCTATTTTCATATATTTAAGGTGTAGATACTTCCCAGTATAGAAAGTCCATGATAATATGGAAGACATTAATTTCTATTTATTTATTTATTTATTTATTTTTGAGACGGAGTCTTGCTCTGTCACCCAGGCTGGAGTGCAGTGGCACGGTCTTGGCTCACTGCAACCTCCACCTCCCAGTTTCAAGTGATTCTCCTGCCTCAGCCTCTGAAGTAGCTGGCATTATAGGCATGCACCACCACACCCGGCTAATTTTTATATTTTTGGTAGGGTTGGAGTTTCACCAAGTTGGCCAGGCTGGTCTTGAACTCCTGACCTCAGGTGATCCCCTTGCCTCAGCCTCCCAAAGTGCTGGGATTACAGGCGTGAGTCATAGTGCCTGGCCATTTAATTTTAAAAAGAGCAATATTGAAAAAATCTGAATTGCATAAAGCTGCTTAACTGAAATATATTTTAATTGATTCCCATGCGAAGTATTTAGCTTTTCAACAATTCCTCCATATTCACATAGAGTAGGAGTAAATCTTTGAATAAATGTATATATTCGAATAAAGTCCAGAGGAAAATACTTTGTAGTTTAATAAGGAATGTGCCCAAAGAGAAGTAGCTGCATTTTCTGAACACCAGAATAGGCACAGAAGCTTTTGAATTAAATTTCATTGGCTATTCAAAATCTGAGTATACAATTTATCCAGAAATTAGTGATTCAAGGTTAATTGTTTGCTTTTTGGAGTCTTCTAGCTTTTTTTTTTTTTTTTTTTTTTTTTTTTTTCTTCTTTTTTTTTTTTTGGTATCTTAGTCAAAGAGAGACACAGTCAAGATGATGAAGACGCAGTAATTACAAAATTTTAAAAGTCAAAATTACATGATTAAATCTACATTTTACAGGGCCCAGCCTGCTATCATTAGCATGAGTTTACATAAATATTATATCATTTAAACAATGAATTTATTTGGCAGTTATCTTCAGATTTCTTCTGTGTCTTTTTCCTTTAGATTGGGTAAATGAGATTGACCATATTAAATCCATGGCAATTCTTCCTCCTAACCTTCATATATAGAGTATATAATCTAGACTTTCAAATATTACTTGCTTTGAAATTTTTAAAATTTAGCCAGTTTAACATTTCTTCAGATAGAATGCACTTATAACCCCAGTAACATAGGGGATTATCAGTTCTAGAATTGCTTTGTGCAAGTGGCTGTAACGAAGAGACTCAACATGCAACAGATTAAATAAGTTCATTTCTCTTACGTAACAATCTGGAGGTGAGTAATCCCAGCTGGAGAGGCAGCTCCATGCCAAGCGGTCATTCAACAACCCAGGTTATTTTTGTTTTACTGCTACTCTTAGGGAGTTAGCTTCATCAGCATACTTGAAACAATATCAATGCCTGTTCCCCATCCCAATACATGGTAAGGGGGAAAGAAGGGAAATGAAGGGCAAGCACTTCCTCTAAGCCTGGGCTTTC